GTGATAGTGACAGTGGTAGTGACAGTGACAGTGATAGTGGCAGTGACAGTGATAGTGGCAGTGTCTGTGTCAGTAGTAGTGACAGTGATAGTGACAGGGACAGCAACAGTGGCTGTGATAGTGACAGTGATAGTGACAGTGACAGTGGTAGTGGCACTGACAGTGACAGTAATAGTGATAGTGACAGTGAAAGTGATAGTGATACTTATAGTGATAGTGATAGTGACAGTGACAGTTACAGTGTCAGTGGCAGTGGCAGTGATAGTGATAGTGATAGGAGGTCACGTGCTGAGCATGGCCATATTGAGGGGAAGCCTCTGTTGTGACCTACTGGTCAAGAACAGCTCCTCATCCAGATAGCTTTCTGCTAGTTAGAGAACCTGGAATCATTTCCCTGTGTCTCAGCTCTACCACTTCCCAGCAGTGTGACTTTGGACATGTATTTCAAGCCCTCTGAGCCTCAGTTTCTCCATCTATTAAATTAAGTAAATGCTATCATCTCATGTACTCATCGTGAAGATTGTTAGTTATTCCGTTAGGCGCTTAGCATTCATTGGACATGGTGTGTTACCTTTTTTGTTATGGTGTTGCTGCTATTAAGCATGCCAAGAGCAGAAAATACTTTCTGAAATAGATAAGAAAATAATTGAAGTCGGAAGATAAACAAAAATCAAAGATGGCTTAGTCAGTAAAGCTCTTATCTTCATGTGAACCTGAATTCAATCCCCCAAACCCCTATAAAAATATTGGGCATGGTGGTGCATGCCTGTAATTTCAGCATTAGGGAAGCAGAGGAAGGAGAATCCCCGAGGCTTACTGACCAGCCAGGTTAGCCCAGTTAGTGAGTTCTAGGCCAAAGAGACGCTGTCTCAAAGGAGATAGATGGTGCTCCTGAGGATGACTCCCAAGGTTGTCCTCCTGCCTCAACACACATGCACACATGTATACACATGGACTCCACAAAGGTGTACTCCTCCCACACATGCACATACATACTCACGTATGCGAAAAAAAAAAAGTGAAAGCAGAGGCGCCCTGTCATTGGATCCACCCTCAGCTATTGATTTGTGAGTTTCTGGAATTGGTTTCCTGCATGATAGTACAAAGCCAAAAAGCAACTTTCAACGGATTTTCTTTCCCACAGAATGAAGTGGAGCTGGGGGAGCTGCTTCTGTCTCTAAATTATCTCCCCAGCGCTGGGAGACTAAACGTTGACATCATTCGAGCCAAGCAACTACTGCAGACAGATGTGAGCCAAGGTTCAGGTACAGTTCAAAGCCCTGCATCGCCCACATTTTAAGGACATGTCTCTTAGTGGAAGGATCCAATTTCTCTGCATTCTGGATGCTATTGATAAAGCCCTGTGAGGGCGGAGAACATTCAAGAACTAGGATGCTAGTTCAAAAAAGGAAAACAAATCAGGACGAAGCAGGCCTGTAGTGACATCTTGGGAGCCCCATCTTGGGAACTGTGACCAGTTGTGATGACTTCTGCAAAATCTGTATCTTCCTTGAACATAAAAATGAAGCAAAAAAACGTCTTTCCACACTGTGCCTGTAATACAGTCACCACCCTCTAGAGGGCAATAGTGTACAAAATGACTACATTCTAAGCAGCAGCCAAGGCTTCCCCCCACCATCCCTCCCCTCATTTCCTGGGTACCATAAATCTTTATAAATCCCAGCTCCGAAAGAACTATTGTATTAAGTGTTTACTTTCTGGCAGTTCAAACACATTTAGCGAAATGGCACAGATTCCTCCCCATCCGTAAGTGGCTTCTCCCGTGACAGCAGAGGATGTTTTTGTAAAAGTAGTCATGGTCACTGGGCCCACTTCAGCCCAGTGGTGGAAATGCTGTCTTCTCCAGCTTTTTTTTTTAGGAAAAAATATTTTATTTATTATTTTTATTTTATGTGTGTGAGTGTATTGCCTGCATGCATATGAGTGCACCCGTGTCGTGCAATGCCACAGAGGTCAGAAGAGGGCTTTGGATTCCCCTGGAAATGGAGTTAAGGACGGTTTATAGCCACCATGTGGGTGCTGGGAATCGAACCCGGGTCCTCTGCAAGGGCAGTTGGTGCTCTTAACCACTGATCCATCTCTCCAGCCCCATGTCTTCTCCAACTTTGATTGCCAAAGTATATTACTGTGTGCAATGAGGTGACAGCTGAATCGAGAATGCACCTTGTATTCTCAAAAGCCACGCTATAAAGTGGAGGTTTCAAAAGGACAGGTGGAAGGAATGCTATGATGCCTGGAGCTTCTGACTCACCACAGTGGGAGAGTCAGGATGATGAAATTATAGGGAGCCAAACTCCCTGGAATGAACTCTCAACTGCGCTGCTTGCAAAGATGGGACCTTGGAGAAGTTATACAGCCTCTACACTCCTCAACTTCTTCATCTCAAAAATTAACAACAGGATTTACCTCACTGGATTGTTTAAATAAATATTACAGTCCGTCGTCTATATGAATCCCTCTCTACACTATAAAATGATCTAAGCACGACAGCTCTAATTCTGTCTGCTCTTATCCTGTGTGAGAGCTGTGAGCTTGCTGACTTGGAAGTGGCTTTCTGTTTGTAGACAGGCTCCGGCCGGGTGCTGCCTCCACCAGCCAGATCTTAAACAAATAATTTCTTTTCTTTGAACTCTCCATGTTCTCATCTACAAAATGTACCTAAAACATGGGAGGAGTGTAGTAAGTGTTAGATGAATAGAAAGAGGAAAAGGGATGATCAGATGAGGAGATGGATGAGGAAATGATGGCTGGGTAATAGGACAGATGGATACATAAGTAAGGGGAGGGGTGCAGGCCTCCAGTAATAAATGGGTCAGTGGATGGATAGGTGCATGAATGAATCAATGGATGTATTGATAGAAAACTAATAAATAAGAGCTGGAGACAGACATGCCCCCAGGCCAATCTGATCTAGGAAGTTCCTCAATTGAGGCTCCTTTCCTGGATAATTCCAGGTTGTGTCATGTTGACAATTAAAGCTAACCAGGACAAGGATGATGGTGGTGGTGATGATGGTGATGATGATGGTAGGTATGAATGAATAGTAAAGCACCTGCCCAGTGTGCAGGAGGCCCTAGATTCAATCCCCAGTACCACTTACTGCAGAAAGAGGTGGAGGTGATAAGTGGTTACTCTAAGAGAAATAACAACTTGGATGGATGGGTGGATGGATGAACTGAGAGATGGACAAAAGTTGAATGGATGGATGGATAGAAGAGTGGATGAGTGACATGATGAATGAATGGGAAGCTGAAGGGATGAGGGATGGATGGATTATGCTTCAGTCTTCAACATTCTGCAATACTGTGTCTAATCCTCAGATCCATTTGTGAAAATCCAGTTGGTCCATGGACTCAAACTTGTGAAGACCAAGAAGACATCCTTCTTACGAGGCACAATTGATCCTTTCTACAACGAATCCTTCAGTTTCAAAGTTCCCCAAGAAGAATTGGAAAATGCCAGCTTAGTGTTCACGGGTAAGGTAACATTCTAGACCCTAATGAATCCCAGGTGAGGCATGTTCAACTTACTGTTTGGAAAACTGAAGGCATCTAGAGAGAGTTATGTTTAAGAACTTCATATCTGATGTTTGAGCCCATTTACTATTTGTGAACTAGGACATGATTCGTAGAGTTCTAGAACAAAATTGTTAGGTAATTGTTAGAAATCTAACTTGTGCTAGATGTCCCAGAACTTCGACATAATAACCAAAGACTTTGACAAGTTACTTTACTCATCTGAGTCTCAGTTTTCTCATCTATAAAATGTGGGTGATAATAGCTCTTGTTTTATGATTTATCAGATTGAATGATACCTGTTACGTATGTCAGCTTTGACAATGAGGATGATGATGGTGATAGTAGTGGTGATGGTGGTGATGATGATGATGATGATTCTGGTTTTGTTTCTGTTGCTATGACAAATACCATGACCAAAAGTGACTTTGGGGAAGAAAGGGCTTATTTGGCTTACAATTCCAGGTCACAGTCCATCACTGAGGGAAGTCAAGACAGGAACTTGAAAGCAGGCCTGCTTGCTGTTCTATACAGTGTTGCCTCCGACCAAATAACTCACTTTCAAAGCCCAAGAAGTATGGTAGGAACCATGGAGGATGCTGCTTGCTGACTGACTGGCAGTCTTATGCACCGTTAGCTTTCTTTTTTAATTTTATTTTATTATTTTTATTTTATGAGTATGAGTGTATTGCCTGGGATGTATGTAAGTGCACCCATGTCATGCAATACCACAGAAGTCAGAAGAGGGCTTCGGATTCCCCTGGAACTGGAGTTAAGGACGGTTTGTAGCCACCATGTGGATGCTAGGAATCAAACCCGGGTCCTCTGCAAGAGCAATCAGTGCTCTTAACCGCTGAGCCATCTCTCCAAGCCCCCGCAGTTAGGTTTCTTATACAGTTCAGGACCACCTACCTAGGGAAGGTGCTACCCACAGTTGAGCTGAGTCCTCCCTAAATTAATAGTCAAGACATCTCCCACAGATGTGCCCACAGGCTAGTCCAATCTAGGCAATTCTTCATTTGAGGCTCCTTTTCCAGATAATTCTAGGTTGTGCCAAGTTGACAGTTAAACCTAACCAGGACAAAGATGATGGTGGTGCTGATGGTGGTGGTGATAATGGTGATGATGGTGATAATGGTAATGATGATGGTGTTGATGATGATAGTGATGATGGTGGTGATAATGGTGATGCTGATGATGATGGTAGTAATGGTGATGATGGTGGTGATGATTGTTGGTGATGATGATGATGGTGATAATGGTAAAGATGATGATGATGATGAAGGTGATAATGGTAAAGATGGTGATGATGGTGGTGGTGATGATGGTGATGATGGTAAAGATGGTGGTGATGATGGTGATGGTGATAATGCTGATGATAGTGATGCTGATGGTCATGGTGATGATGGTGATAATGCTGATGATAGTGATGCTGAGGGTGGTGGTGATGATGGTGATAATGGTGATGATGGTGATAATTATGGTGATGATTCAAGTTGCTATGCCTAATAGAATATGAGGAAACGGAGTCACTTAACTCATAAAGGACAACTGTGAAAGGCTTTCTAGAGGATATAATATTTAAGTAGGTTATGTGCCACTCTCTGGTAGAATTTAGTCTACTTTTCTGGGCTGTAATTTTGTCTATTGTTTCAGGGTATATTGGTTATTTATTACCACATGATAATAAATCACCCTAAAATTAATAATGTAAATAAATCAGCAAACATTTATTATCTCATTGTTCCTGTCATTCAAGAGCCCAGGCATGAGGCTTGGGCTGGAACTCAGCAGAATGCTTGCCTAGCATGTATGAAACTCTGAGTTCAATCCCCAGCACCACATAAACCAGGTGTGGTGGCTCATGCCAATAATCTCAGCACTTGGGAGGATCCAAAGTTCAAGGTCATCCTTAGTTACATAATGAGTTTGTAGCTACATGAGACCCTATTTTTAAAAACAAACAAGGGGTAGAGAGATGGCTCACCACTTAAGAACACAGGCTGCTCTTGCAGAGGACCTGGTTTGATTCCCAGCATCCTCATGGCAGCTAACAACCATCCATAACTCCAGTTCCAGGGGAATCCAACACCCTCCCCTGACCTCCGTGGTCATTTCATGACATGTGTACACTTAAATACATGCAGGCAATACACTGATACATAAAATAAGAATGACGCTGGGGTGTGGTGGTGCACACCTTTAATCCCAGCACTTGGGAGGCAGAGGCAGGCGGATCTTTGTGAGTTCAAGGCCAGCCTGGTCTACATAGTGAGTTCCAGGCCACCAGCAGGGGCTACAGGGTACAGGGAGACCCTGTCTCAAAAAGACATAAATAAATAAATAAATAAATAAATAAATAAATAAATAAATAAATGAATAAATAAATAATAGAATGACAAAGAAAATATTTAAAAATGAAGCAGGCTGAGCTATTTGGTTCTGGCTGAATACATCTAACAAAGCTGCTGAGCTGATGTTGGCTGGGGCTGCAGCCTCACCTAAGGGCTTGTCTGCGGAGGGAGGATCTGCTATCAAACCCTCTCATGCAGTTGTTGGCAGGACAGTTCCCTGCAGGTTACTGGGGCTGGGGACTTCATTCCTTCCTGGTTGTTGTCTAGTGACTGTGGTCTTCTCCATGGGGCAAATCCTAGTGTGACAGATGGCTTCCATTAGTGTAGTCAAGTAAGGAAATGAGAGGGCAAGAGTCTTTTTTTGAAATTGAGTGTTAAAAATGACATCCAATCACTTTTGCCCTATTCTAGTCATCAGAAGCAACTCTAGGTATTTTGGTTTGTATGTGAAGTGTCCCCACAAAAAATTCATGTGTTGGGGGTTGGTCTCCAGCTAGTAGTACTATTTTGGGAGGTAGTGGAAACTGTAAGAAGAATAATGTGACTTTGGGTGGGTCTTTGGAGCTGGCATTCATGTAAAAACCAGGTAAGGCCACATGTGCCTGTAACCCCAGTGTTGGAGGGTAGAGACAGGCAGATCCTGGGAGCTGGTTGACTAGTCAGCCTAGCCAAAATGCTGAGTTCTGGGTTCAGTGAGAGACCCTGTTTCAAGGGAATAAGGTAGAAGACACCCAAAGTCCTTCTCTGGCTTCTGCGTGTATGGGTACCCATACACACATGTGTACCCCCCACACAAATACATAACATAAAAAATAAGAGTATAAAAACAACTCTTGTGGGAAAGGCTTTCTTTGCACAAACTTTTGCTTCTCAGCACACAGTTGTGTATGGCCATCCTCCCCTAAGACAGGTTGGTCCTGGCCTGTCTCAGAACCTGACACCTGGAGTATCTGCATCTGCTCAAGGGAGGCCTCTAAGGAAGGCAGCTGGTGAAGGAGGCTGTCCCATCAGGTTGTAGACTTACTTGGGCTCCCTCTCTCCAAGTTTCAGCCAAAGCAGAAGAAAAGAGTGGGCTGGCAGACAGTGGGAACTATATTGAGCCAAGACAGACACATCAAATCATGAAGCATCTATTCCCAAGTCTCTGCTGGGAACGAGGTCCTCCCGCTCTATACTTTGAAGAGCAGGGATCTTGAAGGACACTGACAGCCCTGTCTTGACACATCCTCCCTCAAGATTTATGACAAAAGTAGCATGTGCTTATTACACACAGAAAGAAAGGCATTCAGGGACAGAGACTGAAGGGCAGAGCAGTAAGTGCAGAGGCTGGAGAGCCAGCCGGGATCCCAACCCTGTTGCTCACCTGCCCTGGTGTCCTTATAAGGATCATCGCTGAAGGAAGATTAAATGAAATCAGGGAACAGTGCTAAGCACTGGGTGAGTACTCTGAGAAGCACTGTTCAATAGCATGCTACTCTATTTCTTATCCTGTCTCGAGGTCCTTCTTCCAGAAGTCACCACTTTTGAAATTCTGGTGTTTATCCTCCATGGTTTTCCCCTGGTGACCCAAACACTGTCCACATAGAGAAGATGAGGTCCTTTAAAAGGTTGTGCATGAACTATGAACTCATAGCAGCTGTGGCTTCCTGCACAAGACCAGTCACGATCAAGCCAGTCAACACTCCAGCACAGATGGGGAAGGGGCACACAAGGCCTCATGCCTAGCTGAGGAACTGATGGGGCTGCTGGGGGATGGGAGGGTCACTTTTCTTTGGGGGGGCATTACCATAGGTAGGTCGACGGTGCCCCAGTGTATGGCTTCACTCCCATGCGTATATGGGCAGCTATCATTGGACTTGGTGGGTTATTAATTGGAAAAAATAAGAGGACACAGTGTTGAGAGAAGAATATGGGGGTGTTACAGAGGAGTTGGAGGGGAAGAGTTGGGGGGGTTGAATGGGTTCAAAATACATTGTATACATACATGAAATTTTCAAAGAATAAATAGTAAATATATTTTAAGTTATTCATGAATTCAACAAATGTGTATTAAACACTTTTTCCATACCCAGATACTGTTTCCAAGTATTAGGTATTAGGGACAGAGCAGAGACCCAAGTGTGTGTCCTTGGGGAGGTCATTGGGGCCTCTTCCACAGCCTTGCTATTGTGAAATTAACAGTGGAGCTGTCAACCCCTTGGGAGCCCAGAAAAGATACAGAAGTACACAACAGTTTGGACATATTTGCAGAGGGTTTTTGAACCCTATGAATCTCATAGTTAGCCTATTAGGGAGAATTCTCTCTCTCTGTCTCTCTCTCTCCCTCCCTTTCCCTCCCTCCCTCCCTACACACACACACACACACACACACACACACACACACACACCCTCCCCCCACACACACACACACACACACACACACACACACACACACAGAGCCCCATGACAGTTTTCACTTGGGGACCCCATCAGACAGGGCCTGTATTCCTTCTTTTAACTGCATTTATTCACTTATATATTTATTTGTGTCCAGAGAACAACTTGTTGGGAGTCAGTTCTCTCCTTCTACCATGTGGGCTCTAGGGATCAAACTCAGGTCCTCGGGGT